TATACTTATCCTGTACTCGGTATCCTTGGATTGTGTAACAGGATATTGCATTTTTTGCATTTCTATTGCTTCTATCTTTAGAAGCAGTAAATACTTGTCTCACATTCTTCATTTGAGTTTTGCTCACTTTGTTTCATTTCTTGCATTACAGAGGATTTGCCTGAATCTGCATCTTTTGCATGGAAACAAAGAAGGGATATCTATAGGACCTAACTGTAATCATTGAGAAAAGCTGACTAAAGGTTCATGCAGAAACATTACCCTGAATATTAAACATCTTTAAATGGATTGTAAGAATCCAAATGATGGAAAATAACACCATGCTGTGGGCAGGGCTAGATATTGGGAAAATGCTGGTGGTGTATCCGTGTTGGAAGAGCCACGGAGACACCCGGCTCCATGGGCTGGCACGGTGGCTGGAGAGCTCGGTATAGTGCCAGCATGAAAACCTTTTCGTCATTGATTAAACTTACGGGTAGGAAAAAGATATTAAAGCAAGAGTGACATTAGGGAGAGGGAGTTAGGTATTATAACATAAAAGAACCTTTTGTCTGGCTAATCTTTGCTATGGCAGAGCATAGTGGCCCGGTTAAATCTGCTTTGTGCATTGGCACTGCAAGCTTTTAAAGATGGTCTAAAGCAGCTGCAGCCAATTGTATTTCCACAGATAAGCTGGAACAAATAAGTAGGCTCAGAAAATCTGGCTAGATTTATCTTCAAAGCATTTTCAAGCAGCTAATTGAAAATTATCCAAGCCCACTTTCCTGGTTTCTTGCATATTATTGTATTAATTTGCCAGCGAATGGGAAGTGCTTGGAAAACATACAAAGGATTTGTGAGTGCTAAGCTTTACTCTTTGGAATTTAATTATAAACGTGTCCTCGCTCATGTGATAATTTAAAGCCAGTTTCTGCTGCTCTCTTCCGTACTTCAGCATCCAGTGGGACTAATCATGCAAAAACACATCTCCAACGTGAGGGGTGGGCCAGGGCATTCTTCACCCTCCACTTCTAGATGCCTCCTCCCCTGCACTTCAGCTGTCCCTGCAGCACCGGCGGTGAGCACAGCGTTGGATATATGGTCAGCTGGCTGCTCTTTAGGTGTATTTCTCCTTCCTGAAACATTTCTGTGTGTGCAGGATGATGCTGTTCCTGTAAGAATTGCTTACAAAAGGCTCCAGGCTGGTCCTTGTGCTGCTCCCAGCAGGGGCAGCATCCTCTGTATTGCTGAACCAAAGGGATGCTTTTTAAAAGCGTGCTAAAAAATCCAAGGTTCACTGCTCAGCGCCCTAAGGACAAGCCCCATTCACAGGACCAGGACATGGATTTATCTCACTTCTGGGAGGCTTTTCCATTCCTAAACCAGCGAGTGGATTACACTTGATCCATATGGTGTTTATCAGCCACAACAGAAGTAATACTGATAATCCTCTGAAGCCAAAGTATCTGAGAAAAAATTCAGTGTATGTTACCAAGAGAAATTAAATGTACAAGCCCAGATGAATTTGTTCCTTTCTGGAGTAACATGAGCTTGGTACTTGGACGTGGACTTTCCCAAAGTCAAATATCTGTTTAGTAAGGTCAGGCTCACTTGCATGTTGGGGAGAATAACTGAGACCACCCAGCGCAGCCACCGAGCATCACCTGGGGCTGCTCCTCCCTGGTTTATGGTACATTTTCTGAGCGTTTTTTAATCGCCCATTCATGTTCCTCAGCAAATATCTCCATGTATGCTATAGAATTGAAAAAATGATTAAGTCTGCTGATAAACCGTAAACTGGGCTCAGCTATGGAAAGCAGAAGTTATGAATAGGTGTTATTTGCCACAATAATACCTTATAAAAGTCAAAAACCATAGAGTGAAAGGGAAGATTAACTATTATTGGGCATACTTCAGCAAATGGGATTATTTTGCATGTCAGTTATGAGTTAATTTGTAGCATTAATCATGGTCCTCAGCAGAGACACAAAATGTTTTTAATTGGTCCTGTGACTTTTAAAATGATCACCTGACAAAAAGCTTGTAAGTTTTACTATTGATTTTGTAAGTTTTACTATTGATTTAATGCTAAACGTTGGGGGGGGAGTCTTACAAATTTACAAAATACAAATGGCATGATTTCATTGCCTTGCTACTTTTGTTGTGTTGACTTGGCAATGTTGGCAGTCTGGAACCAGCTGTACAGCTGAAAAAAATTGAGTTAAAATCTTGCAGCAAAATGAGTAAATCTATAGCTGGGAGATAATAGCATTGGGACTGATTCAACGTAAGCAAGAAATCACCAGCTGAGTCATTAAAAGCAGAGATGAATGGGAAGCAATAAATGAATGGCTCAGATGAATAAGAATGATTAGGAAGTGCATGAAGTTGGTTGTGGTGTTTTTCCCCCCTAAAGGTTATATGTTGTCCTCTAAAGTGGCATATGGCCCCTATGAAAGCTAATATTCCCGGTGAATGTGTCACTGCCAGTTTAGAAACACTTAGAGAGAAAAAACAGCTTGGTGAACAGCACGGAGCGGGAACGGGCTTCCTGCCCAGACCACCTGGGTACAAGTGGTTAGTCCAGGACCATCAGGAGATGGCCAGGATGGGGCTTTGGGGGCAGAGAAGGCTTCTGGGGCAGGGGGGAACATCTGCTGCTTGCAGGAAGGACTGGTAGTTTTCTTGGAACCGTTTCACTCTGTGTTTACTGCTAAGTAGGACTAAGGGTAACCAAAGTCAAAGGGGAGGATGATGTGCGTACCTGGGTCCAGTGACCCAGATTCCTGCTACTTCAGGGGAAATAAAACCTGAATGAAAAGCTGTAATCTCTTCCCTGACTCATGAAATACTGAACTATCAGTATCTATTAGTGATACATCAAACGAGAGATCCCAGTGCTGGTGAAGAGGCAGCAGGAGCATTTCCTCCAGGGCGAAGGTGTGCCCGTCGGGGAGCTCTTGGCTCCTGGTCGCATCAGCTAACAGACATGGGCTTTTTTTTATCTACTGAAAGCAGTGCTAGCAAAATCAGTCCCCAGCCAAGCAACCTTCTTTACAAGTGCAGTCAAATATAACATAAGACTTATGTTTGATCTGGGAAGTGTGCAGCTGAAGTCAGCTGGCTGCTGTGCAGGAGGCACGTTTGATTTACACTGGCATAGCGTGACCAGTTCCACCCCTTAGAGCCTGATCCAGTACCTAATAATTACTTCTGACTTTAATAAAGTTAGAGTGCTAAAGCACTATTATTTATTGTTTCCAATATTGCATCCAAAGATGAGAAAACAGATTTACAGCTGTAAGAGTCATAAGACAATTGGAGGGATGAAAAAGTGAAAAAATATAGTCTTGCATCCAAGGTATTATCTTTTTCTGCCAACGCATTACAACAGTCTGTCTCTGCAGCAAAATTCCAATGCCTGCAGTTAGTTTTTGCATTTACATGTTACACATCAAAGTTATCCTGCGCTGTACTTGGCCAGCTAAAGTAGAAGTTACCCCAAGGAGTCTAGCGTGGATGCAAAAAGCAGTGCCCTCCTGGCTGCCAAGCTCACCCTGCCCTGCACGATCATCACATTCCTACTGAAGCCTGGACAGTCTGCTCCCCAGACAGGGTAATTAAGATAGAATTATTTGCCAGCGAAAGGTGGATCTCATTTGTTTAACTTACTTAGAGTTGTTGCTACCTGTTGTAGCACTACTGACCTGGATGTTTAAAGTTTGCTGGCACTAAGTGGCCTATCTGGGGTGGGAGCAGGACCTTGATGATGCTCTAAGCATCATGTTCTGCCAAATCCTCCTGCCCCGGTGCCTGCAAGAACTGCCGGTACAGGGCAGCACATCGGTACTCTTACACGCCGTTATCTACCAAGCAAATATCAGTAAGTTTTTCCAGCAACAGGCAGATGAGATAATTTATTCACCAAAGGCAGCAATATTCCCAGGTTACAGTGATCTGAACAAGGTTCGTTTTATTGGGAAAACAGGTGCCTGTTTTCCCGTTCCCTGATGATGAGACTGATTGCTATCTCAAGAGGAACATTTTTATAGGAACCTCTCAAACAAATATTGGCAAAAAATGTGGGAAACACAGGATGCTTTGAAGATGCTCTCTAACAAAACAGTTCTTGCCTAGCATTTGTCATGTATTTAAGACCAGCATTCAAGGGACAACCTTATTGCGTTCATATTTATAGCTCAGTCAAGGCATTTAAGAAAAAATACTCTTGGTTGCCAGCATGATCAGGTGCTGAGATGCACAGGAACAGGTTGGAAGAAGGCAGTCTGCATCGGTAATCAGGTTAGAGTCAGCTGCCTCTGCCCTCCAGCTCCCTCCGAAATGGCATGTAGTCTAATTAGTTATAGAAAGGATTTTACTGAATAGTTGTAAACAGATCTGAGGGCTTGGAATAAAATCAATCTGACTGTGGAAACTTTTCAGGATAATTATAAACTGTTATTGGCAGAGTGCAAAAGAGAGACCAAAGGACTTTTAACAGTGGGGAAACTTGTAGCTGTGCACACCATTCTCTGCAGGGGGAAAGAGAAGGACAGAGGTTGTGGCTGGCAAAGTGGGGGTCTCTCCTCAGGAGGAAGGATAAGGGGCTTCAGCTGTACAGGTGTGGGTTTGGGGTTTTTGGGGTTTGTTTTTTTTTAATACTCTTGAATGTTTTGGGGTTTTTCTATAATATTAATTGTGCCCCAGTACCTGAGGTACCAACACCCCCCCATGGTGGAGGGCACACATCTAGTGTGAACTGCACAGTGAAATGCTAATACTTAAAAAAAAAAAAAAAGGGAACAATATTTGAGGGTTTTGAGCATGGTTTTATATAAAGGCATGTGTACAAATTCTCTCTTCACAGATCAGAATGGTCTTGGCTCAGACCTTTGCCATCTCCCTGCTGATGTAAGCACCAAAAATTGCATCTCCCGCAGAGGCAGGTCCTCGCTGCCCCACAAAGCCACCCCGGCCACAAGCCCCGCCTCAACCTGCCGCTCAGCTCTGCGCTCCCATTCATGGCAATGCCGCAGAATTCGACTGGACAAAATGGCTTTTGTTTCGCTCAGACGCTTGACTTCTCCCACCCGTCCCCTCCTCCCAGCAAGGCTGGCCAGACCTTCGACGCCCCGAGGGGGTGGGAGATGTGCGGCCCCCCACTGAGCAACGGCACCGTGTCCTCTGGCGCGCCCAGCCCCTCCGACTCCTGCGCCGAACCCCTCTGCTCCACCACCCCGGGAGAGGAGGAGACCAAATACGTGTCAGCCGAAGGGGAGGAACTGGCGTGCGGCTGGGGGGCATTCACCCCCGGGTGCTTACAGGCCTTTAACACGTCCAAGGGCGTCTTGTTCTTCCTCTGCGTGGCCTCCTTCCTGCAAGGCATGACGGTGAACGGCTTCATCAACACGGTCATCACCTCCATCGAGCGACGCTTCGACCTCCGCAGCTACCAGAGCGGGCTGATCGCCAGCTCCTACGACATCGCGGCGTGCATCTGCTTGACCTTCGTCAGCTATTTTGGGGGGAACGGCCACAAACCGCGATGGCTGGGTTGGGGCGTGCAGGTCATGGGCTTGGGCTCCCTGCTTTTCAGTTTACCCCACTTCACCACGGGACGGTACGAGGTGCGTTTGGCAGCAGAAGTGGGCATCTGCGGGGAGAACCAGAGCCTGCCCTGCACCCAGGCTGCCTCCAGCCTCTCCAGCTACAGGTTCGTCTTCATGCTGGGGCAGTTCCTGCACGGGATGGGAGCCACGCCACTCTACACGCTCGGCGTCACCTATTTAGATGAAAACGTCAAGACTAACTACTCCCCTGTGTACATTGGTGAGTCGAGCCGGAGGGGCAGCCCGAACCCGTGAGCTGGGCGATGGAGGGGAGAGCCGGTCCTTCTGTCCTGGCACTGAACAGGCCACATTGAGCAGTTTCCCAGTAACAGGCAAGGTGGTGATCAGAGGGAAGTGGCAGCTGTTGGGGAGGTTTTGATTATTTATGGGCAGGAACTGGGTATTTTTACTCCTGCAATGCATACCCTGCAGATCAGGAGGTGCCTTCTGCTCCCAGCACGGGGCCAGCTGGGGAGAGCCCTCCAGCGTGCCCCAGCACGTGCGTGGCGTTAGCATCTCTGGCAAACAACCATCAGGCCATGCCCCATCCGTGCGAGGGGACATCACAGCTTTAGTGCCGTAGGACAGCAGGGACGGTCGCTGGGCTGCTCGGATACTGCTGGTGTAAAGCACAGCCAAGCTTCACCGAGGGAAGAGGCTCAGCTCGCTCCTCTGCTCTGTATCGCTGATCACTTAGCAATTGCAAAATACTTACAGTGCTATTGGGTGAAATTGCTGAAAGGGCTGATCTTTGAGCAATTTCAAAATTTAGCAGTCTGCCCGTACTGCTGTATCAGAAGGCTGTGCAGGAACAGGAGATCACAGGGAGATCATCAGTAATTTGATGATCTTTCCACAGCAACAAACAAAAATAAGTGCCAGTGGGGCCGCGTTTAGCGTAGACGTTGTGTATTGTCAGTGGGGAGACAACGCTGCCGCTCATCACACCAGCAGTCAGGACGTAGCACTGGGGTCAGCTACATCCCTGCTAAATAATAAAACAGTAACTACATAAATATGTTTTTCCAGTGCACCAATTTTGCCTGCCCCATGCTAGAAGAATTCCCAGGTTGGATACAAAAGCTTCCCTGGAACATAAGTGTGAGATGAAAACTTGTTAAAACCGTCTGGCTTTGTTTCTCAGTGGCTTAGGGAGTGGGGTGTGAGGCGGCAGGAGGCTGAGCACCCCGGATCCAGGAGGGAATTGGGCCACCGCGGTGGGGCGGGGGATGCTGGGCACCGGCAGCGCTCCACGGCATCCGTGGCTGAAACGCTGCTGTTTCTCTAACACGGCTTGTTTTCCCTTTCAGCTGTTTTCTACACTGCTGCAATCCTTGGGCCTGCAGCGGGTTATCTGGTAGGAGGAATGTTTCTAAATATTTATACTGAAATTGGCAGAGAGTAAGTCGCTAAAAAATAATCTTGTTCCTTTTCCTTTATGCTATATGTTTCCTTTGGCTTAACAAAAAGAAATGATAATAGTAAATAGTCTGGAGAAATGAACCCGGTGGCTGGGTGGAAACGTGCCCGTGGTGTTTCTGGGAGGGGGGGCCAAAGCTGGAAGGGTGGCTTGCATTAGTGCTGTCGCTGGAAGAAAATTGCTGACCAACCTGTCAGATTAAATCCTTCCTCCTGCTACACTGCCTGTGTTAATGAGGCTACGAGCAGCAGGTGAATTTTTTGAATGAGTTCCCTGATGAGGCAGTGCTACCAGCAGAGCTGCTCGTCCTCCCGGTCATCCAGCCAGGATGCTTGTCCCTCCTTGCTTCTCAGTATTTGTAATTTGTTCTTATCTCCTTACAGGGTCTTTGGCAGAGGAATGGGTTAAAAAGGGGGAGCGGGTTTCCAGGGGAAGGAATGGGTTATTTCCACCAGTTTTCTTGCAAAGGGTGGCTCTGGGGTGGAAGAAGGATCATAGCAACCCCAAAGCACAAATGAAATGGGAAGAAGTGAATGTGCAAGCTAGAGATTAGAGAATTAAATTGTGTAATTCCCCTGTCTCGTTAAGCGGTGTGCTCTCCGGTGAGGCAGGCAGCAGTGTGGTGTGGCAGGAGGGATGGTGGATGTGCCTTCCCCAGCACGTCACCGTGGGAGAGGCCGGAGCTTGGTTTCCTTTGCTGATGTTCCCCCCGACCCCTGCCACCAGCTTCAGCACGAGACATGCCGAGCTGTCCCGCTCCATTTCAAACCGCCGTCTCTCCTTTGTGTCCTTTCGGCTTTGTTTCTTACAGGATCGACATCTCCCCGGAGAACACGCTGTGGGTGGGAGCGTGGTGGATTGGCTTCCTCGGGGCTGGAGCAGCCTCCCTCCTCATCTCCATCCCCATCCTGGGGTACCCTCAGCGTCTCCCAGGTACGTGGCCCCACTGCGGCTCGAGGGAATTGGGGCCGGGGCTGCACAGCACTCAGGCTCGCCTTGGGGCTTGCATCCTTATGCGCACGTGTAGCTGGGGACACAGGGGCAGAGGAAGAGTTTCCAGTGTTTAAACTGTAATTCCTACTTGAATTTCACCTCCACAGCTTTCCAGCTGCTTCTTTCCTTGCTCCTCCCTTGCAGCCGTTGGCAGAGGGAGGATGTCACATTGCATTTTCCCCCCGCAAATTCACTGTGTTGGTGAAGCATCCGCATCTCATGTGCTCCTTGTTCCTGTTTGCTTCTCATTTTCAGGATCGCAGCGGTATAGTGTGATGAGGGTGTCAGAGGCTCATCAGCTAAAAGACGGGAGCCACAAAAAAGCATCGGATCCGGACTTTGGGAAAACAGTTAAAGATCTGCCTCGGTGAGAAAACTACCCTGTGCCTGAGGTTCAGGAAGCCCTCCCCAGAATCGAGAGCAATGGGCCCAAACTGAGCTTGCTTTCTACAATGCTAGCTAAAAGGCTTTGCCCATTTTCAAACATAGCAATGACACTTTCTCGCAGAGGAGGTTGCGAAGTGCCCGGTCCCATCAGCGACCGGGGACTCTTGACAAATGGGCTGAACTAGAAATCATGCTGGGGATTGCAGGGAGAGCAGGGGACAAGGGGCTGGTCCTAGCTGTGGTTTTCAGAAACTCACGTCCACGTGTGAAGATCCACCTGCAGTCATGTGCAACATGCTGAGTTTCACCGAGAGTGGCTTGGTGCCAACCTTCAGGTGATAGGAGATGCACAGGCGTTGCCATCTCATTCCCTCTCCCCAGCAGCATTATTTCCTCCTGTCTGCTTGTGTCTGGCCTCACCTGGCCCAACTGGGTGTTGTCTGATGTCTCCTCCTCTCTATCCCCTTGGGGCTTTTCTTCCTTTCCTCTGTTTTTCCTTGTGTTAGATCCCTGTTTTGTCCTTTTAATGAGAAAAGAGAGGAAACAAAGCCCCACCTCTTATAGCTCCATTCCAAATCCAGGGAACAAGATATCCTGCACTGTAGCTTTCAGTTCTCTTTGATTCTTAGTTTCCTTTTTAATTTTCTTTTCTTTTCCCTTTGCGTCTTCTATCCACGTTTTATGTGTTACTACTTATCTCTCCTGCGAAGCACTGACACAGCAGTGTGCTTAATCACAGGGCCGCGGCTTGGCTCTGTGCTGTGGGCGAGCACGCACGCACCAAAGGAGTTTTGGTAGGAAATGGTTTAAAGGGATCCTGGGTGGGAATGAGTGAGTGGCCAAAATTAAATGTGGTCTTTTAACCTGGAAACTTCTGCTATGGATCTTTGAAATCTCTTAAGATTTTTTTTTTTTTTTGGTGTTGAGTTGTATTTGAATGGAGGGCAGAGGGGGAGATGCTGCTTTATTTACAGCTTGGGTTGAGCTGGTGTGCAAGATGTGGATGTTGCAGAGATACCTGGCTGTTGATTCCTTTTGGAGCTTGCAGCCAATAAAGGGATTTTTCTGTTTTGTATTTTTCCCACCACCTTTCTTAGGGAGGAGTTTGCATCCTTGTGTGATGGCTGCCCCATGCAAAGGCAAACATTCAATGTTGCCAAACCCCGTGCCGCTGCCAGCAATTACTTCTGAACTTTAGTTGTGGCGTTTGCCTTTGTGCTGGCAGCGGAGGGTTGAAGCAGGTGCTTGGTACGGGAGTCTTCAGCAGCAGTCGCTCTGCGTTGTGTCAACACAACTACTCATGTTGGTCTAAAATTCTTGGGAGACTTTGCAGGAAGTTTACCAGGGGTTAAGGCAGTTTTATGAAGAATATTACATTGAACAGATTTCAATACTGTTATTAAATGGCATTCTTGACTGGGTGCCATTTTCCGAGGTCACGGTTTATTCTCCACACGGAAATTAAATTCAAAACCTGCATTTAAATAATGATAAGGTTATGACTAAAACCAACACAAATAGGGTAGCAGAGAGGGATGAAATTCAGCGGTTGATGCTTTTCTTGCTTATCTGGAACAAAGCTCCCACTGTTTCTCGGTGAAGGCTGTCTGACAGCAGGTACAGGGGCAGTCCCCCTTGGGGAGCATCTTCTTTCACCCCTTGTTCCTGAAGAACAAATACCAAAGGTGGGCAACTCATATCAAATAATTCAGATCAGTCCAGACCTTAGTGTGGTTTTCGTTTGAAAGCAAAAACCCAACAGACGTTTGTGCTCCCTGGTTTTGATTAATAAAAGGGAAGTGCCTTAAAGGGTTGCTATTCTGGAAACTTGCATTAAAGAGGAGAGCACATCTGTGCAGCTCTTGGGGACACGTGGACCAGGCTGGAGAGTGAGGCCAAAGGACACTGTTGCTTTTGCTTTAGTACTTTAGTAAGGGATTGGATGCTACACGTTTTCTCACAGCACGGACAGTAAGAGTCTCACAAAGATAAGCAGAAATACTGATGAAATAAAATATTATTCCATCCCATCAGATCCTTTCTAAGCGAGCTTAATGAATTGCTGTATTCACAGAGCTGCCTAAGAGCATACAGTATAATCCTCTGCCCTGAAGAGACTTCTGTCTTAATTCCTGCGTTGAAAAGGCCTGCTAAAATAGTATTTTCCTTTCTCTGGTTCCATATGATTGCTCTCATAAAATAACCCGTGCTGTCAGTGCAGAGGGATTCAAACAGAGGACACGTAGAGCTGTGCCAGGAGAGGAGTCTTTGTCCTAGCTAGCCTTGGACCAGAATTTGTGAGGATCTGTCAAGTGCTGATCTTCAAAACGAGAAGCTACGGTCAATATTTCACTCATCCCTCTTGAATTAGTTGGCATGGTGGGGCTTCAGTTTGTCTCGTGGCTTTGCTAGAACTTCTGTGTGTTGCAAAGGGAGGATGGTTTACATTCCTGTGGGACGTATGTGCTGCCCTCCGTTCCTTTGGTGGTGGTGACAGTAGGTGTCGTTTTGTGCTGGAAAAGTCCCTGTTCGCATGCTCTAAGATTGCATAGATAGCCACCTATAGTTATTGACTCATTAGCTTGTGGCCGTACCCTGTTACAGTCTGGGGTGTCCTGGGCACGCAAGCGTTCCTCAGAGGAGCAGGCTCTGATTGTACAGGTGGTCCCAAACTTACTCAGAAGGGCCGTTACATGCTGAAAGAGTAACTATATGTGCCCATATCAGTAAAGACTTGCAGGATCAGGCTTTTTTAGATAGTGGGTTTCTTCTTTTGGCACTGCTGAGCTTTGTGAAATCCGTTTGGCTGCAAGACCTGAGGCCAGTCAAGACTATTCAAGATTTAGGTCATTTCTGGGTGTGGTTAAAATCCTACTGATAGCAACGAAAAGGTCTGTGGTGACTTTGGTAAGGTTTTATATGTCGTAGCTCCTCACAAATACATCTTATGTCTACCAATAGATTACATTACATGAGTAAATCCTTACTCTTGGTGCTGAAAGCAGTTCCTCTGCATTTTCCAACCTGCAAGTGTAACCTGCAACCTTTGGCCAAGAGGCACGAAGTCACACTGGTGCCAGGGACCAGTTCCTTTCTTTTCTCTTGAACTGTAAAAAAGTGAAGGCATTGTGCAATTTCTACATCAGCCATGAGGTCCACAAGAAGTGTTTTCTCACTAAGAGATTAGGCTTTGTGCTTCCAAATAAAGCACGGTTGAAAAGATTATTCCTGAAAAATAGTTTAGTAAATTAAACTAATCCCAACAGGTAGACAATGGTTAGTATAAAACCCCCTGTAATCAAGGTGTAAGAATGTGTGGTATTTCTGTCTTTCAGCTTCTTTGTTCTTTTGGTATAATGAAATTCTCCACTTTATGTGGGTAAAGTTGCATAAATCTGACTCTGAGCCTCAGCACGTCTCTCACTCGGTTGTACTACCGCAGATTTTCTCTCATTTCACATTTCCTCCAAGGCAGTAGGTGGTAGGTGACTGTGCCTTTCAGTGCAGTGAACATCCCATGGCATCCCTGTCACTGCCGTCGCTGTGGGATGATGGGGTTGTGCCAGTCTCAGGAAGGAGGTGAGCTGTGGTACAGATCCAGGCTAGGCTTGGGGAAAGTCATGTGGCAGAATTTCAAGCTTGTTACAAAATGCTCCCTGCAAAGCAGTGTCAACCCTCTTGGTCCAATATCCGAGATAGTGAGAGATAATTGAGACCATCCTGTGTGCCTGAGGGCCTTTCTGTGTCTTGGAGATGGAATTGTTGCTGGATCATCTTTCTGCATATAAATGATACATGGCAATTTTTCAGGCATATCTATGGCTCTCTACTAAATCCCGGTGGGTCGAAAAGAAAATGTATTTGCTCAAATTATACATTAAGCTTAAAGTAAAACTGTGCTTAGATTGTGGGAGAAAGACTGCTTTCTGTTTTCCAGTGGGATATATGGTATCTTGGAGGTGTTTCCTCCATATAGAAAGGCTTGCTTGGTATTTCCCCTGAGCTGCAAAACATGCATGGTTATCAGAGACTGTTATTCTCGTGAGGACATGGGTGCACATGAGTAGCATGTGCATACGTGAGTATCTAACACAACTTTGTTCCTTGCTCTTAGTTGAGTCGGGATTCCCAAGATAACTGCCATCAGGGACTAATAAAACCTTGAAATGATTGAGATTTGGTGAAGAGTAGTGTCTTTTCAGTATTGCAGCATTTAGGGAATGGAAAATACTCAGCCTGATCCTAAATGTTGGAAAATTACCACTGAAATAGTCCATACAGGCACCCTGAGTCTGAATTATATCACACAGACACTCTTGGTATCCAGTTCCCATTTTGAACATGCATGTGGGATAAATAGACCCATCTGGTGCCCTCATGAGATCCACAGAGAAGAGTCCCAGATTATTCCCTCTTGTTTTAGGTGTTTGGTTGACGTTCCTCAGGTTCCCTTGGTGGTTGGCTGTAGCCGATGAGGCTATAAAAGACGACCAGAGTAAGCATGTCTGTTAGGCGCCTGAAGATAGCCAGGACAACCCCCAGTAGGAACTAAGAGCCAGAGCAGCTTGGCACATGAGAGACGTTATACAGGAGGGCAGAGTTTGAGGGCAAACTTTTTGATCCCCACCTGCAATGGAGACTATCTCCACAAAGCACCATGACCTACTCTGTGCAGGTAGATAGAGAGGTGAGAGTATCCTCAGCATCCTTGCTTGACTGGTGGGACTCAATAAATGTAAATGGAGAAGTTCCCTGATCTTTCAAACCACAAGTAACTCCCTTTTGGATTGTTTTCTTTCAAAGGAATGCAACCTGGTGGGATGCTACGTTGTCTTACCTGTGGTTCTTCTGACTTGAAGATAGGGGACAGACTTGAAATCAGAATGTCACAGTGACTCTATTGCAGTATATTTGTCCTTCCCAGATCAGTACTGCTGCTTCTGAAGAACCCCACCTTCATCTTCCTCTGCTTAGCGGGAGCAACCGAAGCCACCCTCATTGCGGGGATGTCCACCTTTGGACCCAAGTTCTTGGAGTCTCAGTTTAGTTTAAGTGCCTCTGAAGCTGCTACCTTTTTTGGTAAGAAAACCAGGTTTTTGCAATGTTTTGCCATTTTGCCTACAAATAGAAGAGCACTGTAGCCCCTTTAGAATGGAGACAAACACTCTTTGCAGTTCATTTACAGAGCGGTTATTGTCTTCAGCTATTAGATGGGATCGTTTCCCATCAGCACATCTGTACCAAGTGCGTTTTTCAGAGCTGTATCTACTGACATCAGGAGGAAATGTGTTGCCTCTGTAGCCATCTGTTACCCTCTAGAGGAAGGCAAAATAACTGTAGTCTGTTCCTTCTAGTGCATTACCAGCAAACGTTAACTAAGTGTTTTCCTCTAACGAGGGATGTCTGAACTGGGGAATATATTTTGTCAGCATCCCAAAACTGGGAAGATCCTCACTTAGCTGCCCTAGCGTAGGCTGAGGAAGTGGTGTCCAACAAGCATCAATACTCATGATGTTCTCCTCAAAGAGTCTGTTTTACGACCTCCAGGTAGGAAAAGCTGCCTTACCAGGCTCATGCCTCATTACCTGAGCTGTTACAAAGGACCACATACCATAGCAAAGTCCACTGAACTCCCACCCAGAAGTCATGCAGCAACCAAGGGGTTATTCTCATGCAGACACACTGCAGTTAATGTATTCAGACATGAAAACTCCTTGCTAACATTTCTAAATTTGCTTATGGTGGGTTTTTTTTTTTTCCAGGTTATCTGGTTGTGCCAGCCGGAGGAGGAGGCACATTCCTGGGAGGATTCCTTGTGAATAAATTTAAACTCCGCTGTTCAGGAATCATCAAATTGTGTTTATTTTGCACATTGTGTAGTCTGCTGGCTATATTCATTTTTTTTATTCACTGCCCTAACATGCCGATGGCAGGAGTAACCCAGATGTACAAGGGAAGGTAATAACAATCATCCCATCAGTCTTGTGCTGCATGGCCCTGGTCAGAATAGAAGGATAACTGGTGGTAGTCGTGTGTGAGTGTTGCTGATGGAAGATGATGTCCAGGCAGCCTTACGGGCAGGTACTGAGGGTGAGACCCAGAATATTGATCTCCTAACTTTTGTATCTGGTTGGAGTTTATGGAAGAGGCACTCCCCTTAGTGAGGGAGGGGAGATCAGCAGTGCCAGAGTGTGAGATACTCCACTCTTCAGTTGCCTTCATGGGGTCCCCCATCTCTATCCACTGGGATAACCTGGACTAAAAGTGGGACTCTCCAAATGGAGATGTCTCCCTGTGAGCTGGTCTCTTAAACTCCCTTGGTAGCTGTGGGAAAGAGACAGCTCAAGGACATGTTCAAGGTGAGATTAAACCCTTCCCAAGCCTGGCTTTGTGCTACTTGGGGATCCACTGCATCTCCTGCCATTCCCCCTTCTTCTCTTGCTCTACCTGTTTCCTCTTGGAAAATGCTGTTCAGTGTCTCCCCGCTGACTGCTGCCGTGTTTCCCTTAGTGCTTTGCCTGGTGGCCACCTAAACCTGACGGCAGCCTGCAACACCGAGTGTGGCTGTCTACAGGAGACCTACAGCCCTGTCTGCGGGAGTGATGGCATCATGTATTACTCACCTTGCCATGCCGGGTGCAAAAATGTGTCTGAAAACCCCAAGACTGGCAAGAAGGTATGTCTGAAAGCACTGTGTATTAACAAGGCGGCGGCACATCTTCTGCGGAGTGTTTTGGCTGGCTCTGCAAAAGTCTCCACAGGTTTGAGCTTTGCTGCAGATCAGTGTAAAAGGCAGGGACAGCCCAGTGCAGGTAGAGGATGCTCGCAGGCACCACCTGGGATGAAGGCAGAAGGTAGCTGAGGTCACCCTGCTTTGCTTCCTTCAGTGTGCCCAATTTTGGTTTTGCCTCGCTCTGGGTCAAACTGTGCCAAAATCCATGGTGAATCACCCAGGCAGGCGAGGAGCTCGGTAGGCACCTGATTCCTGTCCCAATGTTTAATTTGGGTCTTCAGTGAACATGATGCACCTCCTCTTCCTTCCAGCTTGTTGCTCACAGACAGGCACAGGCTTGAGAGAAGGGTAAGGAGGACATTCGACATTCAAGGGCTGCCTGGCAAAGCTCACTTCTCTTATTTAATAACCTGCTTTGAAACAGAGGTCTATCACGAATGTAGCTTGATTTCTGCTCCACTCCAGGAGTGAAACTCGTTGGTTTCTGCCCTCCCTGAAGTTCTTTCTTTTTTAAGCCCAGCTGTGACTATCTCCGTTCTTTCCCTGGCAAACCACCCACTGACCTCTCTTTCCCAGGTTTATCACGAGTGTAGCTGCATTGAGGAAACCCTGTCCAGCTCCGGTGATGCAGAAGCAGGGAAATGCACCTCCTCTTGTGAGAAAAAGCCCCTGCTCCTGTCCTTCATGTTTGTGGTGATCCTCTTCACCTTCCTGAGCAGTATTCCTGCCGTCACCGCCACTCTGCGGTAAGTGTGGGTTTGCCTCATCCCCCACCACTGCTGCAGAAATCCACCTCTCTGCTTTATCCTGCTGGCTCAAGCCAAGAGGAAGGTGTGATGGGAACCACCTTGTTACTGGCAGCCTGGAGACATCGGGACTGATTCCCTTCCCTGTCTAGCTGAGAAAGAGCTGCCAATTATAAAATTTCCTATAAAATTTCCTATCCTCTGACATCAGACGCCTCTGTGTGTGTTCCAGCTTGCAGCAGTGGTGGGGGGGACATTGCACTGGGATGGATGTCCATCTCCAGAGGGTACGGAGATCCCAAGTGTGCTGCATCCGAGTGTGTGGCATCGCGGAGCAGGGAGGTGCCGTGCAGCCTGGCAGCATTTTTAAACAATCTGCTTTTGTTCCCCAGGTGTGTCCCTGACAGTCAAAGGTCATTTGCACTCGGGATCCAGTGGATTGTAGTACGAACACTAGGTACGGAACAGAGTGAATTTGGGCATGGGTTGTGGTCCCTTGGCTTTGTGGAGCATGTGGCAAGCTGTTACCTAAGAATAAAACACGTTGGGTTGGAGAAGAAAGGGGTAGGACACACCCTGTTGAATGGAGGATGTTTTCTTGTTTGCTGTCATTCAGAAAAACCTAGTTCCCTTTGCATGTGGTTTGCAAACTGAGTGAAGGATTCTGTAACATTGCAGGTGGAGTTGAAGAGAAATGTCCAGGCAATGTGTCCTTATTTTAAGAAAAAAGGAGCAGAGGTATTAAAGATCCTGTGTTTGTCTCTTGGCTCCTGTGCAACATGTAGGTCAGGATGGTCAGGAGACCCGCTGGACTCTCAGATCTTGAAATTCAGTGTATTTTGGGTACCTTGTGTCTCTGGGCACAGCTGTAGATGTTGCAGGATGAGTTTGCTTAATCACGGTAGCAGCAGAGCCTGATTCTTTTCTGCAAGCACGTCATGTCTTGTAAGGCTGGTGCATAGGTGCTGCCTATGCTGGAGGTCCACTCTGTCTTCCCGCAGGTGGCATCCCTGGCCCCATCGCCTTTGGGTCCATGATTGATAAATCCTGCCTGCTCTGGCAGGACCAGTGTGGCGAGCAAGGTTCCTGCTACGTTTACCAGAACTCAGCCATGAGCCGATACACCTTCATCGCTGGACTGGTCTACAAGGTGATGCTGCCTGTTAACTGCACTCTCTGATAAAGCCAGCAGGTTTTTCGGAGACAGTGTTTTACTCTGGGAGAGAATTTTACAAAATTGGGTTGTCCTGATCTGCCCCCCCAACCCAAATTAGACCTTCACACAAGAAATGTTCTCAGGGAAGGCAAAAGCTCCATTTGCTTCTCACCAGGTAACGGTGCTCCAGGCACCATCATTCTCTTAAATTCCCATTACTTTCTAGGCTTACAGCTTCTGTTGCACGATATGAAATATCTCCTTTTTCTCCCAACCGTTACCAAAGTGATTTCTTGCTAGAAAAGGAGTAAAATATATGACTGCAGTGTGTTAGAGTGAGGGATGGCGTTGTGGGCAGGCTGTAAATACCCATTCCCTGATCACCGCTAGAAAATAAGAGAGCTTAGCTGCGCATTTCTTATTTATTAGCTGAAAACCATTATTTTAACTGCTCCCAAACAAGCACTTGCCCTAGATAGTGGTGTTTAGCAGTTGCTGTGATAAAGAGGCTTTCAAAAGGCTTTCAGCAAAAGGCTCAGGTGGTGTTGGTGTGCTCCAGGTGTCCATGTGGGGCTGAACAGCTTTCCACATTCTCATTGTCCCATTGCTATGGGGCTGGTTAAATCCAGATTTTTACCCCTTTTGGCTCTGTGCGCTGGTCTGCTGCCCAGGCCGGTCTTCAGCATCACGTCCCCCCCCAAAGCTTGGTCAGCAAATCTCATCCTGAATGAGAGCTAGGCAACTGGTTTTGGGGGGAGCAGAGAGTAACGGGATGTCTTCGTGGCTGCAGGTGCTTGGATCAACCTTCTTTATAATCGCCTGTTTACTCTACAAACCCCCGCCACCGGAGTCGGCTCCGCGCAGCTCGGACGCGTCTGAAAATGGCACCTGTGACCTCCAGGAACACAAACCTTCGCTGCCAGCTGAAGAGGATATATAACACCATATGCGTGACAGTGACTTTCTCAGTCTGAAAAATACGATGAGAAGGCGTTATGCAGTCCCTAGGGGTTTTTAAATTACAGTAATATTATCACTTTTTTTAGTTCAAGATAAACAATGTAATTAACCACTGGTGTGCTTGCTATTTTCTTAACAGCAGAAGCACATTTAAAATTGTGCGCTGATGCCATATACAGTTACTCAATTTTATTTAAAGAAAGGGCTACCGTAGCTTTATTCTATGTCTGTGACAAGTAAGGACCGCATTCTCCACTCATGGAAATAAGCACCGGTAACTCCAATGGAGCATGTGGGGTTTAAACCACCAGAGGATCTGGGCCCTAATATCTCAATTGTAAAGCAAACTGTAGCAAAAATTCTGTTGAGACTTCCTAAGCCTGAAAAGAGCCTTGCTGTCCTGCAGTCTGCATTGCAGAGAGGATGGCTGGCCCTTAAACTACTGCATGCAGAGCAGACAGCCCTGACAGGGTCGTCCTCCTTCCTGTGACACACAGCTTCGCTCCTTTTGTTCAGGAGCAGGTTAGCTAATTATGCAAATTCATATTACTGTGCAATGGGAGATAGGTTTGAGATTTGTCTAGCAAATTCATCAGTACACTACAGGCAGCCGTCCCCGAGAGCTGCCGAGCACTGTACGATCACTGCCTCATTTCATTGCAGGGTTTATACCATGGTGACACTTCATTTTTATTTTTTTTTTCCTTACACTGTTTAAAGGTGATGCCTTTTGTAATGTACTGTGCAAAACTTGAAGTTACTTCTTGCTGTTTGTTGGGTGCGGGAAGACATGAGATACAGATCTATGCAATGCTTCTCTTCAGTTGCTCTGTAAAGACATGGAGTTTGGGTGGATGAGAAAAGTCAGAATGAATTTAACTTGTCTCTAGACAGCTAGCTTAAGGGATAGCTCGCCCTAGGACCAGACTCCCTTGTGGAAAGGGGATGCTGACTTGTAACTGGCCTGCTTGCCAGTCGAGAGGGCAGCATTCCCAAAATGACCTTTGAATGTGCACTTCCAATGTTGACCAGGACGTTTGAGGGGGAAAAGTGAAATTTGGAAGAGCATATGTCTGGCTTACCTCTCAGCCCAGGTCAGGCAAGGTTAGTGCTTAGTCTGCCTGTATTTGCACAGTCACACGATCCAGGTACAGCTCCGGGGGAGGGCTGTGGCCAGCCCCTGGACTCCAACACTGTATAAATCACGTTCACGGGGACGGGACCTACCTTACTGAGCTGCAAAACTGGCACTTCTTTTGTGCCAGCTGCTACTTAGAATTACTTTGTAGATGTTTTTGTATATTTTGTATATTTATGCTTTCATAAATGGACACGGGATGGGCATTTGTTTCCTTTGTTAGCCAAGGACCAACTCTCAGAGCAGAGGTAGCGCTGTTCCTTTTGCTGGCAGGGATGGTGGCACTGGTAGCGTGGGCGATCGTCAGGTCCACAGCTGTTGAGAAAGCAGCTTCTTCCATTCGCGGATCCCGTTCCACCAAAGCCAGATAGTGACCTTCCTGCTTCCAAAGCCCTTGTTTCCCAGCCTCTGCCAAGTACTGGGAGAGACTTGAGCATCTCCAGGAACTGCTGGAAAAACTAGAAGTGCTGCGGGTGAGATGGAGGGTGGCTTTTGGCTGCTTCAACACGGGCAACTGGTGCAGCTTTGATGGGGCACAGCGTGCGGGAGAGCCCTCTTTCTCCAGGGAGGCAGGATTAGACCCACAGATGCAGGAGTTAACCCGGACACCACCCAAACACCAAAGGCTTCTTCACAACCTCCACCTGGGTTTGGAGCTACCTGCAAACATGAGCCTGTCTCCAGGCCTTGCCCACTGATTGCCCTTCCCAGCTTACAGATACTTCGGGCACAAGCAGGGATCTTAGATGGAGAAAATGCATGAATGTATTTTGGGGACTCATTTTATGTATCATATATTTATGAAAGGTAGAAGTTTTCCTTTATATATATGGATATTGCAATGCAATTCTAGTGTTTCTGAAATGAGCTTTATCTGAGTGTGTTGTTTCTAGAGCAAATAAAAGCTCACGGGATTCTGGGCATTTATTGTGTTGCTGTGGGACCGGTAAGTCATGGGTTTAAGTAAGCAGCAACAAGATGTTCCTGTTCCATAAACAGATTATGTAGGTATACAGGTAACTTAAAATATTTGAAAGTATGTTTCCCAGCTTCGTATGAAGTATTATATTGCTATAAACACATAGAAATATAACCAGTACTTCACAGGTACTTGTGTGTGTGTTTTTCATCAGTCATCCCCCTTTCCCAGGTGCTGTCCCTAGCAGCGGTGGGCTGGATCCGTGCTGCTGGGGAAGCCCATCCTGCAGAGCCTCCTGCTAACAGGGTCAGGGCCACCCCACGCGGGTCCAGGCTTTGCTGCAGATCGTTGTGGTGTCCCCAAGGGTCTGCAAATCCACCCAAGGAGGAGAGTTTGGATTTAGGTTTGTGCTTAAATTGTAGTGTTAATTGAGCCCCACATGGATACCGGAGCTGCAGACAGCATCGTCTGGCTGGTGGGACAGCAGGTGACACTGAGATCCTGTGGGTTGGCATCTCCTACTGACTTATCCCCCATCTCAGGAGGAGAGGCTAATTGCCTCTCTCTCAAGTAACATTTGAAGGCAAAATGAGGTTTTTAGTTGCTGAGAAAGAAGAACAAAGAGGGCAAGGTAAAACATTTGCTGCCCTCCATCCACAGACCACAGAGTTTCTCCCAGACCTGTGCAATGTAAATGAGGTCAAAGTCCTGTGTCACTTATGGTTTGCTTCAGGAGTGATTCATGCTGTCAGAGAATACAAACACAAGCAGGGGTTGGTATTGAGGTAAAGCCACAGGGCAGTAAAACAAATGAGCACCCACAAGAGAGTCCAAGCAGGAAGAACTGAATGTTATTTATTGTGGACAAAACCCCAGGCAGTCAGCTGTTTCTCTATAGTGAAGAGTTACTTTGGAACCTTCCTGGAGGTTTCAGAATAACAGCAAATAAAAGCTTTGAATGTGATACGCAGATGGTTTTGCAGAGCTTCCTCCCCTTTTCCTGCTCCTATGGCCTCTCTTCTACGCCCAGGTGTGCAGAAGAGCCTCCGTGCCTCCCCATTCCGGCAGCTGCACCCCCTTGGCTTCCCGGGCTTCCCCCCCTCCACAGCCCAGCCTTCCTTCTTGCCATAGACAGGAGCAAATACTGGTAATTCCCTTTTTGTACTTAGATTCACTTTTTATCCTTAGATTAATATAATTCAGGAAAGCAGGAAAGAAAAAAAAAAAAACCACAACCAACAAACCACAACTGATTGGCATATTTTGACTGCATCAAAAGAAAGAAACCCACCTTTTTCAGGTGGGGCCAGGCCCTTTTCCTGACCGCAGCCCGTGGTTTTGCGTGGGGCGCGGGTGGGGACCGTGGCCCCGGTGCCGCTAGATGGCAACGGAGACGGCAGCACGGCGAGCGGGGCTGCCCTCGGCACCGGCAGTGCCTCGTCCCACCGTGGCTTTGTGCTGGGTTAGAGCAGGTTCTTCTTGCTTTATAGAAAGGAGAAAGGTAAGATCGGTGAACTGGATTCCAGATTTGCACCAGTAAAATGGCATATATATTTTATAAGATCCAAATAAGGTCCAAGGTAAACTTTTAGCATCTAAACTCAGTTCTTTCCAGGGAAAATAGATATTTGTAATCAGAAAGTGATGCAGCTGGTGAGGGTCCAAACAGACCAGCTGTATTATTTTTACAAAAGTTGATAAATTTTTATTTGAAGCCTTCTCTTCCCAAGCAAGGATGGAGAGCTCTGAGCTGTCAATCAAAAAGCAGTTTCTCTCTTTATATTTTCCCTTCTTGATTTTCTTCTCCCCCCAAATGTGATCGTTGCAATGGCTATTAGCCCGAGCCTTTCACCTCGCTCTGAGTGACATGACGATGAATCCCCCAACTCCACTTCCCAAGACGGCACCGTCCGGTGTGTGGCTCAGCCATCCAGACTCACCTTTGCATTTAACCCTAAAAGGTTATCTACCTCTGTTTGGAGGGTAATCCGTGCTGCTCCCCCTTTACCTTCACACACCGTTGTTGCTGTGTTGTCACTAAGCTGGAAGCGAAAAGTGAGGGGGGGTTTGGGGGGTGAAGGGCTAGCTAAGGGGGTGCCAGCCCCCCGGTGCTGGGCCATGCCCTGGGTTGGAGGCTGGTGCTGTGCAGCTCTTTGCCCTTCACTGGTAAAGCTTTGGGCGGTGGAGCTGCTGGGCTTTTTTGGAAAACGTGACTTGCAAAGAGCCAAAGCTGCCCCTGAAGGGGAGTGAAGGCTGTGATAGGGGAGTGGAGAAGACATCTCTGCCTTGGCACAGGCTGGCAGGGGGGTATGTGGCAGCAGCAGAGCAATCTGGGCGATGCAGAGAGGGATTCACGGGTGATTTCCTAGCTGCTTCTCCCCATAGCAAAATTTTTCCTCGGCTAGCCAAGACCAAGCGGTGTTATTCTGCCCATGCAGTATTAGACTTCTCGGGTCTGACCCTCCTCTTGCTTAGAACAGAAATTGAATTGACTGAAGTCAACTAAGCAACACAGAGCACGGAACAGAAGTGAAAAAAATAATTAAACTACAGGAGGATGAAATCTTTATATCCCCACAGGAGATCCTTGTTTGTTTTTGTTGTGCAGAAAAGCCTACCTGTGTTTTCCTGCGGTTGCAAAGGACGCTTGTTTTGGAGCACAGCAATAACCTCAGGGTGCTCTGGTCCGGCTGAACTCGGGAGAAAAGCTTTTATTGAGCCCAGTGGGCTCTGAATCAGGCTCACAATTAATAACTTCTCTGGCTTGCTTTAAAACCAAATAGCAATAAAGAAGAGTGGCAGATTAAAGGAAATGTGTGTGTTTTACCAGCCTGGGCAGACTCAGTCCAGCAAGGGGGGGGGTGGTGGTGGTGGCCAGGAGGTGTGTGGGGTGGCTGTGGCTCTGCTGCAGAAACGGCACTGGATTTCTATCGAACAGTTTGAGGGAATTCAAGGGAGCAGAATGTTCTGGCATTTTCTGTGGTCAAATTTATTTCCTCTGGAACAGAATAAATGCCAACATTTTCTTGTCTTCCCTCAAGTTTTCATGTTGACCTGCACAATGCAGTTTTAGAAGATGGAAAATGAGACCACTCTGCTCCTGTGACTGAGGCGCTGTGTTTCTTCTGCAGCCAAGGACCCTCCGTCCAATTTTCTAGAGACACATAGAAAACTAAATCTCATGTTAAATTAAGAATTTCAGTTGTGTTGCATCTTGCCTGCTTCATTACTCTGTCAGTTAATACAG